GTTCCCCTATCCGCGACCTGGGGACGCGCTCGGTAGCATACAGCTCTGCTCTTCCGAGACCGACGTCCGATAACTTAGATAGAATTGAGTATACATTCGACAATAACATGATAGGAAAATCAACGGTCCTCACGTTTCTGGGTTCGGATGCAACTCTCCAGCCAATATGATATTTTCACCGTTTGCCAGTTGCATTTCAGATGATCCTTATAACTTTATTCCTCACAAAAGGACAGAAAGAACAAACACGAATCGTTAATGTTTTTTACGGATACTCGTGTGGGAACTAAATTGAGCGCGTTGTACTTAGTCACTAAGGTCGCAGTAATCGATGCGATAGTAATAGGTAGTTTGAAAGCACCTACCATTACACGTTTTTACTTGATACTCCACCGCTATTTGTCCGTTGTCTTTGAAAGATTAAGATACACTCGCGTTTGTTATCAACTTATCCGATGAAACCTCCTGTGTTGCGTTATCCATTCATTCTCCGATGCGAAGATCGAAATTATAGACAAATGACAGTCTCTCACCTGATTTCGTTTAACTTGTTACCATGGCCATGAACAGTGTCGTTTTAACAGCGAACTCCGTTCGAACGTATGCTACATGTCTATGTAACAAGGTCAGGAGATATTGTCCCTAAGGATGTTTTTGATTGAGTCGTTTGTGCGAATGTCCGTTTTTGTCTAATTCCACTCTAGGTATTCTAGTTTTAGCCTTAAACTTTTACACATTTATTAGTATTATTGTGCAACTGGCAGCGTATATCTACCGCTACTGTTAAACGGTCACTCATCCTTATCAACTGCACTCCTGTAGTAGTCGAAGTATGCATGGATTACGAATCACGGACCGAAACACCGAATCGCACTAGCATCTGTACGCTGGAGTCTCCTGTCACCGGGACCCAAGCAAAAGGTTACAAAAGTTGCAGTTCATTCACTAAGAGAAATGGATGACATTAAATAATATGTACAAATAAATTTTATTGGTCAAACAAGTATCCACCAATGAGCTTGTACTCTTGACGTCACACAGTCTCTGTCTGGACCGCACGACTTCTGTTTGGTTCGTTGTTCAGAAACCCCAAGGCGTCACTCCGTGACTGACGTTAGCCCGTAGGTTAGGATCACCACAACTCCAAGCCTTGGGGCTTCACATAAGTAAGTTTATTCATCACTTATGGCTTTGTATTAATATCGGTGCAACGTTCAAGGATAATTGTTCACGGTTGCGATGTTTATGTGACTGAGTTCTCGATCGTCTGCAGAATGCGGGCGAACAGTCCAAGGCTCACATTAAGTTACTTGCCTTGCGTAGATCTGGTATGATTCTTTTAGTGCATCAAAGATATTGTATGAGTGATGCGCAACAACATTTTTTGTGATCAGATTATCGTACTGATGTAATTGGCTTTATAAATAGCCGTAATTTGCTCGTTTGTGATTTGTGTGTTGTGAATCTAAAACATGTACTTATCTACTTCTTTTGGGACAGAATTTTAAATTTAAATTAATTCTTTCACAGTTATGCCGTTTCTGGATGGATCGGTTACGGTGTCAAATTCATTCAATCACCACCTGGCGATTGGGATTCCAATGTAATCGAACAGTTTTCCCTTGGTTAGAAACAGGGATAAGTTAGCTACTTCGACAAAAAACTGGCAAACTGCGTCTGATAATCAACTGAGTGGATTCAATGCAAAAACGACTGACTCCAGTGCTCGAAAACAAGGATGAGCGAATAGGACATTCTCTAAACAAAGCGCAATACCTTATTTATGTCTATGGGTCGATTTTTATGAATAAACTGTAATGATGGTTTTTTACTGAAACTTGTTATCATACAACTGTTGCATCAGCAATCATAGTCGAGATCGAGAAATCGTACATTTTAATGGTATTCCATTAATCGAGGCAAACACAAAAGTGGATATTATTACAACGTTGTTGCCTCTGTGTAGCAATAGCATATTTTTAGAGATGCAGATGTTATCTCGACCTGTGGAACCGATCAGGCCTCTAATAACTCGTGATTCTCGCCAACCCGATAGGTATCAGTAACAATGACCGGTTAATCATGGGAGAATATATTGTTCCCTTAAAAGCACCGGAAGTTTAGTCTGACTACGCTCGAGAGTATCAAGCGAAGGTGTAGCATTGAACTGACGCACCGTTCAAAGTGAAATTACCTCACCGAAGGTGGCGATGAATTAAACAAAAATGAAAGATCCGGCTGAAGCAGCGGAATAAGGATATCGACGATCCTGGCGTAACCCATGATACAAAAGAGAAGAATGCGCGAGCGAATGCCTCAAGCAAACAATGTCTGCAACCATGCGAAAGCATACATGTGGAACAGGCAGACCAAAGATCGTGACAACTCTCGAGCATGTTACACTGTCGGTCTAAAATACGATAAATCATTGAAGAAACGTCAAAATGACCGTTTCACAGTACAGGGGGGGCAGCCCGATTGTTCTAGTTGTATTCAAAACCTTTGAGGAATAACAAAGTACACGAATTAAGGTGAACTTGGTCCATGCTTGCTTGATAATGTCGTAGGATGTGGAAAATGCACTTTAGAAATTGTAACAAGTCAACAGAGCTAACTTTCACATAACCAACACCTATGACGAGGTTATAGATCGAGATCTCGGTAGACGGAACAAATGCAGGATCTTTTCAGGATTAGTTCGGTTTTACATTGATGCTGCAATTTAGTCACGTGATTGTCAGTGCGCCCCCTCCCCCAGACTTTTCAAACTACCCACTTTTGGTTTCGATGAAGGTTTCTCTCAGTTCCGTGATTTCAGTGTCTCATTGTCACAAATGTCGAACACATCAGAGAATAAGATATTGTAGTGGTGTGGGAATCGGTCAAAATTTATGGGAATTATTCAGGTGGAAATCGGATATATTTTTCATTCGTCTCTTATCGGTTTGAAAATATTTTCTGTCTAGATATTATGTAAATATTTTGCTTTTATTCTCTATTTTCGGTTGATTTTCATGACCGTTTGAGAACTATTGCAGATTATTTTAGAGTATCAAGCTTGGATTAGTACGCACTGCTGACGAGTCCCAAACAGGACGAAACAGCTGTCCAGTGCTCTTTGTTGGTTATCACAAACATTTCCATCGTATTTTATTGCAGATTATATTTATCCTTTAAACGGAATTTTTCAGTTACCCAAAAAGCGCAACATTTTAGAAACTACGAAACGGTGCTCTGATGTCAAGGTTGAGGAAGCTATACGCACAACATGTTACCATATGATCAGCGAGCTTTACTTGCCTCTGAATAACTTCCTTCGTCTCCAATGAAGACATTGTGGTAAAAAAAAATCCGAAATGCCAGCATTGGAATGACTTGATAGAGATACACCAAATTATGATACCTAACGAGCGACGAGATCCACAAAACTGAGCATTGTACGGCGAGTCACTAGAGAGGCAGTGCATTAAACCATTGTTAGTAAAGTAATCAGGGCATGGATGTGTTAGTAAGCTGTTTTTACTTCATTCAACTTAGTGTGACAATGGTACAACCAATAATCGGGTAAGTAATCGCAGAAGACTGAATGTCACCGCACAAGAAGGGTGACAGAGAGTGGGGTTCGAGCTCTCGAGCTGCCAAGTGGCAGATGGACAGTGTTTACCGATTGATTACTACCACTATCAGGCACACAAGCCATTTTATAGCCCGTTCGGGTAGAGCATGTACGCTCATCTGTCTGAAGACGAAAAGCACGAAGGGACTTGTGATGGTGTTTAGCAAGGACAACCGGCAGCTTCCAGTGGCATTAGTCGCTCCAGAAGGATTTTCAGTGCGATCCGATGTTGTTGTAACTGCATCAGTTCCAAGGCCAACTGATCATTTGTTTGCGTCACCTCATCACATTCCCGTTGCAATTGGGCGACCAAAAGCTCCGGGTCTCGGGAATCGATCAGACGATGCGTTGTTTCACTGTTCACGCAGTAAAAGGGATACAGAACAACAAACAAAAGAGATGTACGTGAGGAAATGGAGACACTAAGCGTACAATGAGATATATACGAAATGAGAATAGTCCTGACTGAAAATGCCATCCGACACTGTGCAGATATGCTATTGATTAGGGACTGGAATTAAATCGACACAAACATGATTCAAAATCTTATACAGAGTTACAAACAGGCTTTGTTGTTTGAGGCTTATGTGAGATACAATACTTTTGTTGTGGCAAAATTTCGGCTTTTCCAGACATTCTCGTTAAAATTGGAAATAAATTGATGAAATTTCGTATTTCGTCTAGATTATCGAAAAAGATGCACGTGTAAGGGGGGATTATCCAAGAATCTGGAACGTAGAAATAAATATATTTTTCGTAGGGGTCATTAGAACAATTGTAATGCTCCGGTTGGAAACGACTCAAAGGAAGCCAGGGAACTGTTTGCTCTACGATTACTTCCATGTAGAATGGAAATAAATGCCCCATTCTCTATGCAGATCGAGCACTTTCGGAGCAAATGATAAATTTAGATTACTTCAATCATTCGAAGTTCTACATAGTTAGATCAGCGGTTATCAGGTTCTTTTTTTCTCGTTCACTCTCTGGTCAATGACCATTGGTGCACTGAGCTGATCGCTGTTTGTTTTTTAGGCTACTTCCGATCATACGGACAAGAAACTCACTCAGGTGTTTTGTGAACAACTATAGAATGCTCACGGAACTCTTGGATTGAGGGTGAGAATGAGAACAACTTCTGATTGAGTACTGTAAATCGGTACTCCAGTATATTTCGAAGAAAGAGGATAGATTTGTTGTGAAAACCACAGATGAACTAGTTTATTCTACATCGTCCGTAAGCTTCTCGCTGGCGTCATGTTCTGCTGACTGTCTGCCGCACCTGAACAATGCACGTGTAAGAATCAACTTGCATTTAGGTTTGATCAAGCTTGTATAGACCATATTTTCACCCTGCGCTAAATTGCAATACACTGACATTGTTTTTGTCACTATACCATTTATATCCTCCTCGATGTAAATGAGACTTTCGATTCAGTTGATTGCTCTGAACTCTGCCGATGCCTCTCCCAAAAAGATTATTATTATTACACTATTAAGATCCCTTTGTGCGAATAGCCAAAACGGAGCTCGAGTTTACGGCATTTTACTGTCCGAGTTCACTGCAGAAAACAGTGTTCTACCAGGTTGTTTAACTTCGCTACCGATTTTCTATAGAATCCACCTTGCTCTCTACTAGGATAGTGGCATGGACATGCTCCCCGAAGGTAGACTGTCTGACCAGGTTTGTGTTTGCTAGTGTCACTGTATTTGGCAGGCTTTTGGCATCTGTAACGTTGATCCGGTTCCCAACATCATGGTTACTGAGGAAGTAATGGAAATGGGGAACGAATTCCGCTATCTGGACAGCAATATTTCGCCCATTTGAAGCATCACTAGTAAAATATCAGCACACGTAAAAAAAAATTGATTGGTATCTGCCAATTACGAAAATTTACGACGTGGATAATTGATCACTACCAAAACAAGATACAAACAGACTATCAGCGTTCAGATACCGGACTGCAGGAATCTGGTTGGGAAAACCGGAAAACTAATGCTGCGGTAAGACGTAGACTTTTAGGCATTTGTGGTCATCCACTGGTAGCCGATAGTTAGACACCAAAAGATAAGGCTGTGGCATAAGCAATGGCGATCGTGGATTCATCGAGTGACCTTGAAACTTTAGTCCTAATGATTTCGCTATTTCCAACCTGACACTGCTTGCAACATTCAAAAATTCCCTCTGCTTCTTCATCGAAATGGTCAGGCAAGAGACAGTAACCAGAACCATCTCATGTTTTAGTATATACAACCATCAAAAAAGCACTTTTATGCGACAGTTCTCGTGTCCATCTTTCGCTGATCCATTTGGGTGAAAGAGTAAAGGGAAGATTGAAATGTTGGAAGTTCGCTGATGTGAATGAGAATAGAGAATTAAGGCCGGATACTGATCAGATGCACGAGCACCACTGTTTACAACAGTCAGCTCTGTTGTACTGTCCTCAGTTTATTGACACTTATGTTCGGTGAGCCGCACAGCAGAATGCGCTTGTTACCAGTCTGGTTCGCAACGAGAAATTCACCGATTACTAACGAACGTTTAATTTGGAACAAATCAATAAGGAAACCAAATAAAAAGCCCGCCGCTGATTGACTCAGCGATGTAACTCGATTCAAATAGTGTGTAGGCTTCCAATCATATCACATCACATCCGCATTGGTGGATAGCATCGACCGAATACATCCACTGAAATGTGTACAGTCCAGCGACGGACTTCCAGACACCATAGTGGCTGTGTTTTTGGCTCAAAGCAGCAGTGCACACACGCATGAATGTGGCAGAAATAGATTTTGCATGTTCGAAGGTGTGTGTTCGTGCATCGGAGTTGGATTCACACGGGCTGGAAGAAATCAAAATTCCGATTAGTTCTACTTAACTTATGATCATTTTTGTGTCCAAGGGATGTAAGGCTACAGTATATAACAGGTATCGTGAAAAACTCGTGATGAATTTGGTCTGTTTTTTTTATCACACATTAGTGTATGATGAACGGCAGACGGGGCAAACCTCATAATCATCAAGACCTGCGGTCCAGAGATGGTAACCGGTAACCTAAGCCCCGCGATTTGGAGTGGCGAACCACATAAGACCCCGATA